GCGCAACAACAACAGACAACCACCATGCCAAAGCACCCACCAGACGTGTACATCTCGCACTGTGTCGGACGTAGGGAAGCGTTGAAGGAGAGCATTGCACTGAAGGCGGGACTGGAGAGCAGAGGGGTGTCAGCGTTTACGTGTGACAAGGAGCCTGTCGACGCTGGTCCAGATGATGTGATTGAAGCCATCGTCGGGTGCGAGTTAGTCGTGATCCTGGGCACCCGCAGTTATGGGGAGAAGACAATGCACGCGTTCAACTCCCACGAGGAGCTCGACTTCATCATCAGCGAGAAGAAGCCCTTCTTCCTCGTCAAGATGTGCGACAGGTTCGAGCACGCCAAGCCAAGGTTTTGGCTCCGGTCCACCCTCACCAACTACACATGGCGGCCCGATCGGGAGCGGTCACACCCACCACCACCAGCAGCCCTCCTTGACGCTATCCTTACAAAGCTGCAAGCAATAACAGAACCCGACAAAGGCCCCAAGAACACCACCAGCAGCAGCAAGATAAGCAACGGCAACGGCGGCAGAAGCAGCATTAGCAGCAGCAACAGCAGCAGAAATAAAAAGGTTCACAGCAGTACCACCCAAGCACCCATATCCCATGACACAGCAAGTGACGTGGCCAAGCTCGAACCGGTTTTTCTTACGGACCTTGACACTCCCTTTGCCAGCCACCATCATGATGATGGCGACGTCATTGACGACGCGGATGAAGACGGTGATGGTGACGGTAATGGTCATGACGTCGCTGAGGATACCAAACCCACCAGTCACCGCCCCCTTGCCACCGCCAGGAAATCTGGGGCCACGACCACTGCGGGTCGCACGACCATTGCGTCCGCAACCCGCCGCAGCAGCAGCGATGGCAGTAAAGGCAGCAGTCGCAAGAAGGACAATGCCAAGGCCCGCACCAGCAACAGCAAAGGCACCCGCACCAGCACCAGCAAAAACACCAGCACCAGCACCAGCACCAGCACCAGCAACAGCAACAGCACCAGCACCAGCACCAGCAAAAGCACCAGCAACAGCAGTGGCAGCCGACGCGGCAGTGCTGTGAGCCAGCAGCAGGCGCAGGGAAAGAGAAAGGCGAGCGGATCAAAGCCAGCCCGCAGCACCCGCGCCCGCGTGTCTTCATCTGCGTCTGCATCCGCATCTGCATCGTCACCACCGCAGAATGAGATGACAGCCAGCGTCAAGGAGGCGGTTGACAAGCTGAGCACCAAAGGTGCAACCGCCATGCCAATACGCGACATTGTTGCGCTGATGAAGCGCTTCCCGACGTCGCGCCGGGTGCTGAGTGAGGCGAGCCAGGCGCTGGCTGCACAGACCTGCTTGAACGCGGCAACGCGAGCAGAGGCGGGCGCGGCGGGGACGGTTGATGTGATTGTGGCGACGATGAAGCGATACAGCAAGGACGATCGCGTACTGGAGGACATGTGCAACGTGCTGAAGATCATTGTGTGGCACAACACGGACAACAAGAAGAGGGCTGTTGCGCTCGGTGGCGTAGACCTGGTGCTGAACGCAATGAAGCTGCGCATCCACAACGCCAAATTACAGGCCAACGCGTGCGGGGTGCTGCGGAGCATCGCCTGTGACGACGACTCGAGAAGAGACATTGCAGCCAAGGGCGGGATTGAGCTGGTGGTGGCGGCGATGGCGCGACACATTGGCAACGAAGAGGTGCAGGAGAACGGCAACAGCGCGCTGTGCCACATCCCCTACCAGTTTGACGAGAACATGCCCAAGGTGGCAGCCAAGGGCGGCATTGAGGCCCTGCTCAACGGCATGAATAGACACAAGGGCAGCGTGGCTGTGCAGCAGAGCGGGTGCGGGGCGCTGGTGATGCTGGGGCTGAACGAGGTGAGCAAGGCGAGGATTGCCGCTGCTGGCGGTATTGAGACGGTCATGACGGCGCTCACGCAGCACAGCAGCAACGCGGCCATCCAGGAGAATGCGTGCGGCGTGCTGGCAAACCTGGCGTTCAACAACCCCGAGAATGTGGAGCAGATTGTGGCGCACGGCGGCATTGAGACGGTCCTTGCAACGATGAGGAAGCACCATGCGGACGAGCGGGTGCAGGAGGCGGCGTGCGCGGTGCTGTGGAACCTGACCGACAACAACGAGGACAACGTGAACGACATTGCGGCTGAGGGCGGGATTGACGCCCTGCTGAAGGCGATGGCAAATCACCCCAAGCACCCGGGCGTGCAGGAGAACGCGTGCGGGGCGCTGGCGTTCCTGACGCAGAACAGCACCGAACACCAGCAGCAGGTGGTGTGGAACAGCGGCATCACCACCATTATCGGCGCCATGCGGTTGCATGCAAGCATCGAGGACGTGCAAGAGCAGGCATGCCGTGTGCTGCGCCATCTCGCCAGCGACCCGTACAACACCGGCATCATTGCGTCACGTCGCGGTATCCCTGCAATCATTGCGGCCATGAAGAAATTTCCCGAGAACGAGGCAATCCAGGGGCAAGGGTGCGCTGTGCTTGCTGCGCTTGCCGTGGATCGACAGCACCACGGTGCGATGCGAGCCAAAGGTGTGGATGTTGTCATCAAGCGAGCGCTGCGCACCTTTAGGCGCGTCTCGGCCGTATCACAGCCAGCCAACCTCCTCGCCCTCAGGCTTTCGGAGGAGTCGGAGGAGTAGCACGTGCGCGCATGTGTGTATGTGTGTGTGTGTTTTATGCTGTGTTGTGTTGTGGCTGCGTCTTGTGTTGTGGCTGCGTCTTGTGTTGTGTTGTGTTGTGTTGTGTTGTGTTGTGTTGTGTTGTGTTGTGTTGTGCTGTGTTGTGCTGTGCGCTCTGGTTGTTTTAGTTTTGATGCACGTGCTTTGCGTGTCCACATGTATTCGACGCTGTTCTCAACGCATGAGGCTTAACACATAAGACTGTTGCCTGTGCACTGCTGCGTGCACCACTCGTTGTGGCGTCTTTATTTGTTCTGTATTCGACTCGCAGCCGCCTGTCTGCTGCACCCTCAATATTGACTGTCTTTCACCCAAAGGCCACCGCTGCATTTGCGCGCGTGCGTACGTGCGTACGTGTGCATGTGTGCACGTGTGTGGTTTGCATTTCCATTCTTTTTTTCTTCTTTTCCAAACCTGTCGTAAAAGCACATGTGATTGCACGCGAGGAAGCAAGCGAGAGAGCAGGGGCAGCAGACGTGGAATAAGTTGTTGCGGTACAGAAGCGCACACTTGCGTGCTTCTGTTTGAAGTCATGTCACATCACGTGTCGCCACCCACAACCCCAAGACACATAGAATGCGAAAACAGAGAAGATATAACTTGATGATGGGGAGGGAACACGCACAGGGAAGAGCACACGTACACACGCACATGGTGTCAACACTGACAGCACGCACGGCCATGTGTACACGTGTATTGCATCATTGCATAATTGCATAATTGCATCATTGCGTTGCGAGCTCGTGCATTTCGTCCACGGTCATGTAGTCGTCCTCCATCAAGTCACGCATTTCATTCACGCTCAGATAGCCCGCGTCGCGCGCCAGCTGCCGGATGGCAACAACATCCAGGTAGTCGCCTGTCGTTGCACGTGGGTTGTGTGGAAAGGAAACAAAGCGTGTGCGTTGTGTGCGTGATGCGTGTGATGTGTGATGCGTGTGATGAGTGAACATGTGTGAGCATATGTGTGCTTGTGTGTGTGTGTGTGTGTGCTTGTGTGTGTGTGTGCTTGTGTGTGTGTGTGTGTGTGTGTGTGTGTGTGTGTGTGTGTGTGTGTGTGTGTGTGTGTGTGTGCGTGTGTTACATTCACGCACGCACGCACGCACCCACACACCCACACGCGCGTCTGGCGGGACAACCACAACGGCGACTGCAACGCACCCTGCCCGCACTCAACGCCAGCAACCAAGGCAATCAACCCCAACCCCCCTCCCGGCATACCTTGGTCGTTTGCGAGTCTGTTCATCTCGTCCACACTCAGGTACCCGGCATCCTCTGCCAACTCCCGCAGCGTGTCAACCGTCAAGTAGTCGCCTGCGTGTTGTGGTAGTGGTGAAACGTGGTGGCCGTGATGAGATGTGCGCACGTGTACGTTAAGGGTGTGTGTGTGTGTGAATATGCGGGCAGATGTGTTATTGTGTCCATGAACATGACAGCAGGTGCATGTGTGCAAGTGTGTGCAAGTGTGTGCAAGTGTGTGTGATTTCACTCTTGCCTTCTTCATTCATCATCACATCGTCATAGTCCACGTCATCCAGCGACAAATAAACTGCGAGCACATACGCATGTACACAAGGAAGCGGGCAGTCGTGAGCTGACGGGAGGGCAGCGATGATGGTTGTGGATTGCATGCACGACAACAAGTGGTACTTCCACGAGGGAGTGCAACCCACACACACACACACACACACACACACACACACACACACACACACACACACACACACTCACACACACACACACACACACACGTACGCACGCACGCACGCACACACACACACACACACACACACACACACACACACACACACACACACGTACGCACCGTCCTCCACGTCGTCTGTGCCCGCGGAAGTCGGCTTGCTGCTGCTACTGGTGCCGCTTTTGAGCTGCTCGATGGTGAGATAGCCGCCGTCGCCGGCCCCACGCTGCAGTTTCGCCAGCGACAGCGCCTCTGTAATGTCCCGCTCTTCTTCCTCCTCCCTGCATTGGTGATCCGGGGGGGGGGGGGGAGGGGTTGATGATGTTGGTGACGGTGATAGTGGTGGTGTGCGAGCAAGCAAAGGGTGAGAAGAAGTGATGAAAGCAGGCAGGCTGGGCATTCGCTCACCATACGACCACCACCATCACCACTACCACCAGCATGAGAACCAAGGTGACGCACGTGTATTCGGGGATGGAGTCGACAATCCCGGACTTGAGCTTGAGAACGCGGCTGGCGGGTGCAGCTGCACATGTGGTGGGGGGGGGAGGTGGTCAACATGGTGGTAGGGGGAAGCATGGTGGTACACGTGGTTGGT